GATGATGGTGAAACAGACAAACAACCATCCAACGATGACCAACCAGTTTGTGATGATGGTGCCACTACGTCAACCGGTAATAGTTAGACAGAGCAACATAGTGGGAAATAATTTATATAGTATATTATCCTTCTTCTAGCACAACCAACTGACGAAGCCGAACAACATGGTCGACCATTATGGATTGCCGACTTTAGCGACGTTAGTGATGATAGCGACGAAGACGAACCTGGTGCCACGGCTAAAACAAAATCATATGAAGCAATGAAAGCAGAAGAGGTCCAGAAAAAATTAGAAGGTATGTAAGTGTTTTTTATTCGTTTACTAGCGGCCTCGCCTCGCTTCGCTCGGCTTCGGCGCCAGGTCGCTTCGCGACTCCCCGAAATTGAATGTGAGTCTGTATCATTTCGTATGTCCAATACTTGTTTTTTCAAAGCAAAGACGATTTTCTGGGAAAGTTGCTCCTTTTTCTGGAGTTGATTTTACACGCGATATCTGTCTTTTTCTTATCAATTGATTCGGATTAAAATGAATCTCGAAAGACAAAAGTAATATATAAATCTGTTATTTAAACCGCGAAAATTCCAACATATACATTAACAAAACAATTAACGAAAATTAGGACAGACGAACATTCAGTTTCCAACTCGCTTCGCTCGGCTCGGGCGCTAGTCAATGCGTCGCTTTTTCATCTTTCAGACATCAACTATTTGCAATTTCCTATTATTCCATTTATCTATTCAAAATCTATTGATCATTTGTTATAAATTTATATCAATATTTCGAATGGTTATCTTTTTTCCCCATCCTTCAATCATCACCCAGTGTTCTTCGATCTATTCTCTCATTACCCAATCATTCACTCTTTCACTTTCTTTTTCTATTTCCCTATCGTTCTTTCTGTATTATTTTTCTCCCATATTCTGTTCTGTTCTGTTCTCTCTCTCTCTATTTCTCCTGATCTCTTATTCTCTCGTTCTACTGGTTTTCAATATCTCGATTTAATGTTCTTTCTATTTATCTTTCATTGTCTTACTCGACATTTTTCATTTCACTCATCATCATCACTCATTATATTCACTCGAATTCAGAGCTATTTTCTTTTCCACCGCATTGAAGAAAGCAATACATTTTCTTTATTTCAAAATGAGTACATTGTCGTGACGTGATAACAACAATAAACATTTAGAAACCATTAATACCTTTCTGTGTCTGTTCGTTTTCAAATCAGTGTTTCAAGCTTGAACAATTCTCCTCCAAGCTAGTCTATCTAAAGCCAATCTACTTGTTTCTTTTCCCCATTTTAAGTATCTTTCATTCAAAACAAATTTCACGCATGTGTTGTTTGTTTTGACGCGAATTATTAATTATTTCAATTTATTTATTTTTACATGAAATAAAATCTCTTTCAAAATAATACGCATATAATATTTCATTGCCATCAATCCACATTAATGTACGTTGGATCGAAAAACAATTAAAAAAATTGTTTCTTCAAACTTTTGAAAATTTAATTCGAAAATCAAAACTGATATGTGAATCTGCTATTTAAGCCGCGAGAATTCTAACGACATATTCACCATTAAAACCAACAGTGGAATGCTTCGTATACTGATACATGTGTTTGGTTGGAACTCGGTTGACCGAAGCGCCATCTGAAGAGCCGATGGCGAATTCGTGATGTCTGTATGTTATACTTCAGTATGACGTTTGACAGAACGGAGAGTTTACTTGATTGTATTTTCATTAGCCTTAAATTATCTAGGTGGTGTTTGCGCTCAATATCAGTTGTCAAATTCAAAGTGAATAGGAGCGTTGATTAAAACCAAGAATTAAAAAATCATGAAAATAAAAAAAAACAGGACACACGCACAATGAGTTTTATATATATAGATATTGGAGTTTCCATAATTTAAAAAAAAACACAAAATGTTAGATTCAAAATAGAAACTGGTTCGTGGCAGAATTGTTTTTTTTTTTTTTAATTTTTCGGACCATACTGAGAAAACGCTTGCGTTCGAACAGAAAACTACACTGAAACAGAAGTCGATTTGACATTAGCTGTCAAACCAGCAAGATGAACAAGTGCGTTTGTAAAGTGAGCTCGTTCACTCCGTGTCAGCAGGTTTTGAACGAATTTCATTTTGCAAATGATGTTGTTGTTAGTGTAATGATACCCCCGCGGTGTAATGATTCATTGTTAAAAATAATTAGCGTCAAAAACTGTTAATAGAGTATAGAAATTTAAAAAAATGTTTAAAATCGAAGAAATGCTTGAAAAGTTGTGAATCTCGTTACGTTTCCAATTGGAATTGCGATTGTTTTTCTTTGTAGTTTGATTTGTACTGTAGAAATGTATTAATTAATTGATTAAATGGATACACAAGTTAATCAAAATATTATGGTTTTGTTTTAGGTTTTTTCATTTCGAAGTCCCGGTTTCATCAGAAAATAGATTAAATCCTTGTGCACTGTTAATGGCAATGGAAAATATTTTACTACTTATTTACATACCATTACATACAAACAAAGAAATACAATAATTTTCATGAGAAAAATATATATTGTGTTTTATTCGGAATAACGCCATAAACAACCTAAAAAAAGTTTTTATTTTTTTGTTGTAAAAAGAATTCTCTCTCTTTCTTTCAGAAGAAAAAAAAACTCATGAAACAAAACGTAATAATAAATAGAAGCGAATCATAAATGTGAGTTGTGAGTATCGTATCAGTTAATTTAAAGAATGGGAAACAAACCCCAGTGATCAAAATACATATCTCCATTGCCATGGATGAGCTAAAAATATCAAATACATACTAATTCACTATTAAATATGCACTTTATTGGATTGATGTGACCGCTTCAACGAGCAGATGAGCCACCAGAAACTCCTTTTATTCTTCATGCTCGCTCGCTCAATCATTCGCTCATGCTATTTCACAATGTGAGGTGACAATAGCGAAAGATTTGAACTTTAATCTCAGAACGAAACATACATTTCACTAATTGTTATGATGCATATGTGTGCTGGGATAGGTACACCACAATGATCTCCCTTTCTCTCTCTCTATTGATTGTAATATTGAGTATATGCATATCAACCGAATCGGTTCATAGAATTAACACATAGCATTGTATTCATTCATATATGGGACGTAGCGTCAGAAATACAAGGAATATTTAGGTCAATTCAACGGTTATCTTCGTCTTTTTACACCATTTCATCCATGTTTTTCTTCTTAATATCGTTGGTTTATAGCGCCTTGCGAATGCGATGATTTCGTTTCGTTGAGCATCGATGTTATTCAAAACTGATCTTATTCAACGTTTTGTTCATATCCATCCATTACCGATACAATAGTATTTTTTAATTTCACAATGCTCGTATTGAAGTCGCCCATAATGTTTAAACTTTGAAAGAGCAATTGAACAAAGCAAGTAAACAATCCATATTTTTTTGTTTATTCTCTTATCATCAGTTGTCATTTTTTGTTGCTTGACATTTGCTATAACGAATTGAATTCTATATAATTTTGTTGGGGAAAAATCGTCTGAAAAAGGCATAAACTGACGAAAACCGATGAATGAATTATGAAAATGACGTGAGCAATGAGCATAACCATAACCATCACCCCATTGACTTCCATTAGCATATGATTTTTTCATTACTTTTCATTAGCCTGATATATATTTAATTAACTTTTTAAAAATTCATTACTTGCTTTTTCCCCTCATATGATCAGCAGCAGCTCAGGCAAATCCAACGCTGCAAACCATTTACGAGCAAGTGAATAAAACAATCGAAAAATGGATGAAGATTTTGTATCATCACAATGACGTTACCATGTGTAATGTTGCCAACCCTCCATTGTGACTGTCTTCAAATATTGTACAACAGACATAAAGGCGAGCTCGTATCTTCTGCCGTACCCTCTCTGCTAAGTTTAAATCATTGATAGCAACAGAATCAACCCTCAATTTAGTTAATACCTTGATTAATATTCGTGGTTGTTTCTCCTACACAAACAGCATCGTTAGATTTCAGCGATTGTTATCCGAATTTGCTATTGTTTCCATTATTAAATGTTGATACATTCACAGTCGTAGTCAACTAATAGAGAGAAAATTCTCATAGCGTCCAAACATTGCTCATTTTATTGACTAGACTATGTTATTCTCTTTAATAATGGAAAGTTCCATTAACGGATGACCTTTTGTTTGATATTTATAGTCTACATCCTATTAATTACACTATGATTCTCTGTAATTATTCGACTAGAAGACTTTATCCTGATTTTGTAAATCAACGTTCACTTCACGCATTTTCGCATCAATACTATTTCATTACAAGTACTTAACTTTTGCTCGATTTCTTCGGCCCAGTTTGCCCATCGATTTCTTAGAAAACTGCTTGAATATTTCATCGTTTACGTTTTTTTCTTCAGTAGTACTATTGCCAAAGCGAGTGCTGCTAGTGTATCTTTCATATACAGCTCTGACTTGTTGCCCATATCATTCACAAACGATATCAAGGGAATGATTTACAATCAAGTCAAACTCATTTGAAATTAAGCAAAATATTATTTAATTTATGAATCATATACAGAAAAAGAAGATGTTTTCCAATCGAGCCATCATTCCAACAGCACCGATTGAGTGTTAAAAACTCGTCAGTTCAACATTCGACAAATTTTTTTTCTTTGTTGGGTCCGACTGTCATTATACTCTCGCGCAAACGATTCCACAGAAATACATCGTCTGCGGTTGTTTCAACGGGTTGATGTAGTGTCGTTGTGTGAGAATAGCAAGCATCCAAATTAAAACGAACACAATCAAAGGAGATCGATTTTCAATCATCGACGTACAATCTACGTCGTACATACGTTACATAGTTCTGTTTGGTTTAGTGATGTAGGTTTGTGTATACACATAGAATGTCCACTAGTATGAAATTATCGTTATGTTTCCTTTCGTTCTGCTCCGCAAATTTAAGAGAAACGACATAATTCGACGGTGTTTTCAAACAACACCAAAAGCATCACACCACTCTAAAACGACACTTCATCCAGCGCACATAGGCAAACGGCAACGGCATTTTTGACCACATTTCTATAAGACTTTGTACTATTTTGAACACGAAAAAAGTTAGTTTTTTTGAATTGCATTTCTTTGTATTCAATCGAGCCGATAGAAACATTTTGAAAACCACGTGAGATTTTTATGAAAGAATTTTGTGCGTGATTTCTTGGCGAACAACAAATTTCAATTTATTCTGAATAACAAGGTAAGTTAAGATGACTGTCTCAATCGTTTTCAAATGAGTGTAGTTTTTCTGGCAAATAAATTTGATAGCATCATAAATTCAGATTTTAGTAAAATAGAGGAAAAACTGAAAATATCAAATATAGTGCAAACAAGTTTATGTTTTATTCACATTCGTAACTCAGTCGTATTATTTGCGCGCAAAATGATGACATAACCATAAACTGATGATTCGGCATATTCTTTAAATCTTAGTAACATTTTATTCACGCATTTTTTTTTGTTCGATTTTTCTACATAAAACTCGTGAAATGTGTAACTGAATTCTATTCAGAATTTTTTGGTCGCTATTTTCTGGATTTGAAAAATTAATATTATCTTCTGACCACAAAGATTGTGTTACAAACACAGTGCTCTGACGCTAGCAAAAAATGCCATAATCGAATATGGCTATGATTTTAAGTAGGATTTTTATTCAGTGGAAAGTGAAGCACATCTCATTTAATCCGTTATTTTTTTGTTTTCATTTCAGTCACAGCGAAAATGGAAAAACTTGCAAAATCACCAGAAGCCGTTCGTATGTTTGTTGACCAGATTTTGAAACTTTATGACGATGAAAAGGCCGGGCAAAATTTGATTGCACTGCTCGACAAATTTCAAGCGAACAACAATGAATTGCTCAGAGCAATTCCGAATTTTGAAGTTGCATACACGATTGGGTAATTCGAATTTTTCTACTTATTTCATGTGGATCATGAAGCGAGCCTGAACATATGTTATTACTTTCTTTTCACACAATTCTAGCGAGGTCCAATCCAAAGCCGAACAACTATTGAATATCGAGGCAAATTTGCGGTTGATGTTAGAAGAAATGGCTGAAGAAAGGAAGGATTGAAAGTGAAAAAGATACGAGAGATTTTGCAAATGTTAATTTTAATTAAATGAATAGAAAATGAAGAGAAAGGAAGTGCATCGATTAATATACGATTAGAATACCTATTTATCATAAATTGTAACTGCAGAACATCAGACGAAATTACTTCATTTTGAAATAAAAAAAAATTAAATTTAACCGGATATTGGTTTCAGTTGTCGTTGTTTTAAAGGAAATAGTACGAGTACCTCATTTGTCGCAATATACGCAACTCTTTTCAGTCAAAAATACATATATTTTTCTTTCCAGAAATACATGTTCATGTGATCAAGGTCTGTCCATCATTTTCTTGGTTTCCAAAGCAAATAAATTTACAGTTGATCAATATTTTTTTTTTCAATAACAAATTGGTTGTTGGACTTTTGGCTAAATTTCACAATTGGCACATAAAACGTGTATTCAATTTTACTCAGCTATCTTTTGTTAAATCTCAATTGAAGCAGAAAGAAAATTCGAATTCAATTTATTTCCTGTTCATTTTGTTATCGACTAGCACGCCTTTGAATGCATATTTGAGATTTAAAAGAATAGATCAGTTGGATTATGACTAATTCACTGGTTAATTTCATTTGAAAACCACTCAGTGATGCACGTTCAAATAGAGGCTATTAAAAATTAACTTAAATTGAACGATGCGAGCGCCCCCAATTTCAAAGGGCACATCAATGTAATTTTCAATTTCAAATTGGAACTAAACAGCGCGGCAATTCAAAATGTGACGAAATGTACTGTCACCAGCCGCCCTATGTGCACGTTACCAGAATTTTAGCTGGTACACAGCACATTTCACCAGTTGCGACTTCGGTCATATATTCGTTGATGCGAGTATAGAGTGAGTACGGCTTACCAGTTAGAACGTGTGTACATGAGGCGCGAACTAAGACGACAATTCAGTTCGCAATAATTCGACAGTGAAATGTGCTGTGTACAAGCCGATCAACTGGTGAAGTACGTCGCTGAGCATCACGCTTTTTGCACAGATAAAGAAGTGTTGCTGTTGACTGCACTATTTGGTAACAGTTGGTAATGCATGTAAAAACCTATGAATATTTAATTTTGCCCATTAAAGAAATAACAAACTGCTCTTACCCTCTCATCATAAATAATAATTCTGAAACTCATAAACAATAACCCTTACCTTTTCTTGTCTCAAATCAAAGAACGTTCAACTTGAATATCTGACGGGATTTTTAATTCAAGAATTAGAATAAGTGAATTAATACAAACAGTAGAACTGGCTGCTAACAAATAGGGTGCGTATTATATACACTTTGCTGAAAATAGATACAAACCATATGTCAACCTTTTTTGAAGAAAACAATACAATATAATTTCGAATTTATTTGTCTTTAATAATTATGCGTGTTTGTGTGTAGAACGGAATATTTCCATAAAAAAGAGGATTAAATGGATAATAAATATGCTTAATCATATAACTTAACTACAAATGATTCGAAATTTTGATAGATTTTTTTGCAATTTAATTTTAATAACTGAGTCGTCAATGCAACTGTGCACCAAAATAAGGTGTTAGGTCGCTATTACGAGTGGAATTTGTTTGCGGATGTGCGGCTAAATCTAAATTACTTTGATAATCATTCACTTAGTTCGAATTTTGCTCTTTCGATATATATATATATATATATGTCTAAATAAATGTTTCATTGTGTTTACATCAAAAGTAACATTTGCTTTGAATTTACCAAATACATTAATCATGAATGGAAATTTTCTTGATCTGGAATGTTTCAAATATCAAATTGAAATCTCAGCGTATTTTATAAAAAAGTTATTAAAAAAACATGTTAACCTATAATCAAAGAAATTTTTGTTTAATTTTTTCTCATGATAATTTTCGAATTTTTTTCTCTCCTTCGACCAAATGAAATTAACTACAAAGCATTTGGAAGCGCCATAATTTGTAATTTATACTCATATCATAACTAAACTAAAAGCGAAAACTCCGCACATTTTATTTTTGTCAAATGACTGGATCAATCGTAGGAAAAATGAAATTTTTCTGCAACGAAAAACCATAATAGATTGTTTTTCTCTCTTCTTCTTCTTCTTCTTCTTCTTCTTCTTCTTTTGATTTAAAGCTAATTCCAAAATATATAAATTTTTATGTTCAAATTATTTGCCAGAAAAAAAATATTTTCATATTCTCTCATCTTTTATTGTATTCAACTAATCGTCTAGCTTAAATAGTGTTTCAGTAAAACCTAATTAAAATTGTAGCCTTAATTCGAACGGTGTTCAGCTGTTGAACGCCCCATTTTTATTAGTAACGATTTAAAAAATAAAACGATTTTAATTAATTAAATGAAATTCCCCAGTTAATAACCATCACCCAGATTGCACAAAAAACCCGATACTTTGTTTTGAGTTTCAATACTGATTGATGTCGAATCTGAATGAATGAATGGATCAACTATTCACTATTCAAATTATTTATTTTTGCCTGAAATTATGTTCGTTTTCTGTTTCCACTGTAATTTTTGTTTCGTTGTTTTGAGTTTATGTGTAAAATTTAGAATGCTAATGGACTTTGTCCAGATTTAATCACCAACAATTTTTCTCTCTCAATTCAAACATAATATATATAAATCCTGTGCGGATTTTCTCTTTTTGTTCAGTTTTGTATATAGAAAAAATAATCTTTGTAAAATGTAGTAATTTTCTTCGCATCATTCGTTAGAACGAATCAATCAGTTTACCAGTCGTTTTGATCTCCTTTTCAATTTTTCTTTAAAACAGTATGTATAAATGTTTACGTTGTTTGTTTTATTCTTAAAATGAGATATAAAAAAAATCAAGGAATTGTTCCAATGTTATATGATTCCTTAAGGATTTCGTTATTTTTTTTTTTTAGGTAGAAAAGTAAGAGTTATAGATTTTCGATATTAATTATTTTTCATCACTTTTTTGTTGTTGTTGTTACAAAAGTTCATTTTCAAAAAAAGTGTGTGAAAAATTCATTTGTTATTTGTTTGAATTTTACTCGTTTCTAAAATATGCATATCAGTTCTTTTCAATTAATAAATTATCTTCTTCTTTTTTATATTTGACGTGCTTTTGTTTCACTTGATCCAAAGAATGTGAGCAAATAATCTTCTTTCTTCTTCTTCTTCTTCTTTCGTTTGAATTATTATACCACAATGAATGGAATGAATGTTTTGAGCTATATAATATTAAATATTAAAGAATCCTTAACGACAAAAAAATATATTCAAAAAATTAATTTGCTGTGCTGTAAAAATGAGCCGAGTTTTCATTTGAAAAAAAAAAGAAGAAAGAAATGAAATGAAATGGAAATCTTATTGAATTTCGATGAGTATAAAAGTATGTGTGTAACAAAAAATAAGATATGATCCAGCGATCTGATTGATTTTGTTTTGATTTTATCCAATATTGATTATAAGTTCGTTGATGGAAAAGTTGACCTTGGCCGAATGCGTGAGTTTTTAGTTGTGAACTGGCATCGGCAATTGACCCAATAAATTGTTGGCAAACGTTGAGTTCGTGAACTTGAAATGACGTTTGTCGTAGAATTTCAACAGAGCCGGCGAATACGGGTGGTTGGTTTTCAAATGTAAGTAATGAACTTCTGGCTCGTTGGTTGTGTGACCGCATTCCTCGCAAACATACATCTGGAAAAGCAAAAAAAAAAATCGATTCGTTCAGTACTCAAGCCGTTGGAAAACTCAAGCCGTTTCATTGTCAAAGGAGAATGCGAAAAACGAAGAAAATGGATCGATATTTACCTTTGTGCGACGCTCTTTGTATGCATACTGATGTTGCACGCCATGCACTTTGAGACAGTGCGATTCCAAGGAGCAACGCTGTGTGAATGATTTCTCGCACAAGTTGCACTTGTATGGCCGAACGCCAGTGTGTGTTCGCGTGTGTCGTTTCAAATCGAATGTGTCATTGAATCCTTTGCCGCAGAAGGTACATAAATAGCGCTTGATATCCGAGTGACATTTCATGTGTCGGTTGAGTAACCGCTGCAAACCAAACGCTTTGGAACATTGCCGACATTGGAATTTATTCTCGTCGTTTGGCCCATTGTTTTCGGTTGCTGGCTTTTTCTCCTCTTCACTCGTTCGGAGGCGATGATTTTGAACACTGTCGACGGCTAATGGATTCTTGAAACCATGACCACCATTTACAAATTCCAGCTGCACTTCTGGTGGCAATCCCAACTAAAGAGGAGATAAAATGAAATTTAAAATCAATTGTTGTAATAAGCACAACAATAAAATTGAAATAGGCGAAAAAAAACGTGACCATAGACTGTGCAAGGAAGCATACGAATTGGATCTGCAATTACTTTGAAGAATGCAAATACATGAAATGCGTGCATTCTTCATGGCATTTGGCAGTTGACGATTGCCTCGGAAAAGTGATAGAAATGTAAAATCAATTGGATATCGATCGTACATAAGCAATACATTTTTCGAGAGAGATGACAAAAAAGAAATCTCAACGCTCCAATTTTTCAGATTCTTACCCGTCTTTTGGTTTCGTTCGCAACCATTTCATTGACTGGCCCACTTACACTTTGAATGATGGGTTTGGCATCGGGAGCCTCAACCGAACCGGGTGACGGTAATGACATATTGCTGTGCGAATCCATGTCGTAGCTAATCGATAACTGCTCTTGATGGTGTGGATGTCCTTGATGATTGGCTTGAATTGGCTGCGGATGGGCTTGATGCTGTTGATGGAACATCTGTTGAATGTCACGGCTCTGTTGATACGGCGGCGGTTGATTTTGTTCATGGAATCGACTATGACCGTTCGGTAGATTGAATTGGCCGCGATCGTAGTTGCGATTGAGCACAATGTCTGGGAATGATTCCAGACAATTGTTTTCATTGTTGTTCACCGATACTGAGTCGGGTGTGAGTGAGGGAGTCGATGAGATTTCCAAATCATTGCCAGAACTGGATTGGTCATCGTTTGGCAAGCGCTGTAAAAATGAGCTCAAATCGACGGCATCAGTTAAACTGTCAAGGAGTGCATGTTCGGCCGGTGATGAGAATGTTAGCGTTGCTGTGAATTGCAATGGATCCACATTGCCATTGTTCATTTCTCCCATCATGCCATCGTTGACATCGTACGGATAGTTTTGATTCGACGACATCATGTTTTGATTGATATTATTCATCGCATCGTCATCGATTTCATCTTTCAGAACAAGGCCATAGGCGGCATTGTGTAGCATCGAAAACTGTTTGACTGCATTGGGTGGCGTCGGTTCGGATGAATAATTGTTGCCTGAATGCTCCTGAGTCGTATCACAGTCCATGTTCATGTTCGATGCCATCAATGTGTTGTAGCCATTTTGGGCCAGAAAACTGGCGTTTGCCGCATTGTATGCGTTAATTCCACCGTTGCCGCTCTTAAGACTTTCATAAAATGGCGGCAATGAGCCGGTCGGTGGGCTATTTGGACCGTAATTTGAGCGATTTTCACGATTGTCTCGGCCACCATTTCCATCGTTGCCACCATTCAAACTTCCACCGACACCACCACTATTTCCACTCAAACCACTTCCACCGTAGTTGAGGCCGCCGCCATTGCTACTGCCACCATTTGAACTCTGTTGACCCTGGTTTGAACCGCTTTGGCCGTTTGATCGTCCGTGTCCGGCTGCTGCTGACATTATCTTCGGATCACCCTGTGAATTCCATATGGAGTAAATCGGTCGCGAAATTATTGCACTTGTCCGCTTAATTAAACGATATTTCATCTCCTTCTCATCGACTAAATCGTCTTTTCGCTTTGGAATGTGATAATCAATCGGTTGATCTTGTTCGGGCTCCGAATGTGTTGTATGCTCAACAATTGCTTTCGGCAATTTGATTTCTGTGTCTTTTTTGTTGCTTCGGCTGTGTGCCGAAATCAATTTGGATGCACTTTCTGTGGACGATGGTGTGCGTTTGATCACCGAACAACGAACAACTGGTTCAGGCGATGGTGATCGTGACGGTTTCGGTTTTGTTTTCAAATTAATTATTTCTTCTGTGGGCAATGTTTCTTTTTCTTTGATTAATTTCGGTGGATTGCGCTCTTTGTCGGATTTGTTTGAAGCGCTGGGATACGATTTGCGTTGAGCTTGTGTCAAAACGTGACCAATTGCACCGTATGGAATTCCACCGCCCAAAATGGACGAAATGAAACGAGCAGGTCGCTCTGGATCTATTGACTGCTTTTCAGTGGAGCGTCGAAGCGACGCCAAAAACGATGATGTACTCGAACGTTCTGTCTGGTTTTCACCGAATATATCACGATCTGCGAATAAAAACACACGAAAAAAAAAAACACAAAATTATTAGCACAAACTCAAATTAAAAATCAAAACATAACAACGAATTTCCATTTACAATTATTTGAAACCATAAAAATGTCAAATTATGCCACAAATCGAACGGATTCTTTTTCTCGCCTTGAAATTCTATTTTGCACAAATTGAGCACATTGACTGAATTTTACACAGTAACTAACTGTCGCATCCGAACACTCAATGCGTTACCATACCGAAATCTCTGTGCGTTTGCATGTGGTGGTGAAATGAGAATATCGGAGCACGTAGTACAACAAGTGGCGTTGTTCGACACTGACCAACAATGGTGACAGAAAATGATATGACAAGCAAACAAGAGCGCCACTGCCATGTGATCTGCATACCGTCCAAATGAGTGTGTTGTTGTTATTGTTCAACGAATGAAAATACACATGAGCACGAGAAAGAGTATTTACCGTTAGAAGAACTGGTGAAACATTTTACTTTTTCCATCAAAAATATTGACCACGGTTAATTATTCGCTTAAAATAATAAACGCATTTTCATAATATATATTCGAAATTGCTTTTCGGCAGATAAGCTAATTAACGCAGAGAATGAGACAAACCGCAGCAGCATCACCAAGCAATGCCGCACTCATTCAGTATGTGTTTATATTGCTTGCGACTAACGGACTTTTGCCAATTTGCTAGCAGTGGCTCTCTCAACAATCTGAAAGCCGTGCGACAAACACGATATAAAAATCTGCGCCAAATTTCCAAAGCAATTGATAGCAGTGTATGGTGATTATACTGAAATTGTGTATTTTATGATATTCTTTCAACATCGTTTACCGTCCATTTACTTTCCCAGATGTGACATATGATAGTCGTGAAATGGCATCGAATTTATAAAAGCAAACATAACAATCAAAATGAATGGCATAAATTGCTCTCTTTATGCTGGATTATTTCGATGCAATTAGCGCGATCGAGTCACTTTAAACTGATTGAATTTGAAAGGTAATTAAAGCAAGAGATGTGAGAATCGATTCAACGATCGTCGAAACAAGTTACACATAAAAAAATCACGATAACAGTTAGCCATTCGATGACGACATTCAATTCGGTCGAATTGTAAAAATTGAAACAAATCGAATGGCTATTTCTTAAAGGTTTTTTTTTTGCGGAAAATAAAATAAAAACGACAACAAAAGACGTCACAAACTTTGAGACAGCTAAACAAAAAACCGTTTTCGATTGATAAACACAGCACGATTCGGTTTGATTGTATGAAAATAAAAAGACGTTCCATTTTGGTTTCAATCTTGTCCAAGATGAAAAGTTTCATTTAATTTGTTTACAAATTTTCGGCATTCGTTTCATTAGTTGGGTCTCGGTTTGAAAATCACCAAAAACAACATCCAAAAACAATGCTCAAATTCTTTCGGAACGATGGAGACAGGCGTTGAGCTGATTAATGGAGCCATTGTGTGCAAACAACAAAACAAACATTCCCACAGGTGGATCTCGCTTGATTTGACTTAACTTTCACTGTGTGCGTTACGAGCTGCCGAAAAAGAGGCCCACAAAAAAATGAAGAGAAATAAAATGAATTTTCACCGTCGGATGCGTTTCATTTTCGATGCAGCATGCGGAACAAAACATGCCATGTTCACATATCAATTCATGTGTGTCATAAAAGAACAGCTAAAAAACGGTACGATATTTACAATATCTGTCTTCATCCACATGCTCTCAATAATCTTTTGTTCAGCAAGTGCTAACGAGTTCGTGAAGTTTTAGTGGAAACAAAAAAGCAACAAACCAAAGATAACAATTAAATGTTTTACCTTCTCCTTAACATTCGTATGCTTGTATGGTGAGTTGGTGAGACCGTTTACGCAAGTAATTGACTGCAGCCAAATAATGTTTATCCAAATGAAGCGATTGCGATGTTTTATGGTGCAATTGGCAATAAGCCAAATCGGAAAGCCACAACTTTGATGCATTTCTTTGCATTTTTATAGCTTCTCTTCCCTGATGCGAAAAGAAGATGAGAAGAGTGAAGATGCGGTGCCACCAATACAAAGCCGTACGAAAGAGACGATAACATGCACACGCTTTTCGTTTCGTTCGTGTCTTAACCTTCAAATGTCATAGCGACCTTTCCGTCGCACTCAATGCTCGTGTGTATGTGTGTGTTTAATGGATGATTTTGGCAAGTTGAATGCGTTTGACTCGCTGTGCGTGCTGTGTTCTCGTCTTCGTTTTGCTCGCAATTTCGTTGTGTCGTTGTCATCGTCCACACAGTACGGTACAACTTTGATATATATATTCGATTTAGTAGCTTCGTAGCGACGACGAAAATCTTGTTAGATTTGAACAATGTGATGTGAAAATCGTGAATCGATTAATTGAAATCGCATCTGTTTTTGGAGCACGATGTCAAAGAATAGCTTGAATCTGACCAAAATGAGTGATTTCCGATTATCTCAGATCGTCATTCATGACGATTTTTCTGAGTATGATCGGCACATGGTACTTCAAATGTTCAATTCAAACATCATCAGTTGAGCTATGCTCCATAATGATTTGGTCTTTTACAAGCAATACAATGAAAACTAAGTTTTTGCATTAGAAGCTAGAAAACAATGAACATCCAAAGTGGAAAGAATAAATCTTATGTATTCAATGTAGCAAACAGCATGAGCTCTTGTGCGTTCATGGCGCGTGGTGTGTTCTCTTTCTCTCTCTACGCTGCGAATCAGAATCCAAGCCAGAAGAGCATGGGCTGTGACGGACGTCATTGAAAAGTCGGTCACCGAAAATGATTCAATTTCTCTTTTTTTTTCCTCTTTATATATCGCCAGCAACTAGAAAATTATTGCATAATGTTCGTGTTTGTGTTGGTATGTTCACGTTCATTTGGCTGTCGTCTTTTTTCGAGTTCACATTATGCTATACTTTCTACTGGGCCAAAGCGTGTCGGTGCAACGGCACACCATCTATTACACCGCGGAAACGACGACGACGATGACGATGATGAACGAAACCAAAACTTTCACTACGATGGCCTTGGCTTCAAATTAGAAATAAAAAAAAAATTTCTCTTACAATCGGCGCATTTCTCTCTCTCTCTCTCTTTGTTGTTCATTTCTCTCTGCCGTTCGACATTACGGTTTTTCAACTATTACGCTAGATTTGGAATGCTATTACAATTACGAAATCGATTCTTCTTCTCTTCTTCTTCTCTTCTATTCATTCATTCTCTTTGAGGCGAATCGAAATACTTGACAATTTACATAGCGGAAATTTCGATTGAGAAATGCTGCATTTAATTCAACGAAAGTAATTAGAATGTTTTGCCATGACACCGAAATTCCATAAAATTAATCATATCGTGGTCGATTGTCCGAACCAGTTTGGCATTAGACAAACAGTACAGTATTTACCACATCGTTTACCTGCGACTCAATGGATAAATTTATTTGAAAAATGGCAATAGCACGCTAATTACCGAGCTGATAAATGCAAACATTTGTCTTATTCGTTCATCCGTTCATTGGGCTGCGTACACTCATACACACACACACACATAATCCAACGGGGTGTTTGGAATTCGAAATACGAATCGATTCGTTGTTTTGCTTTGGCTAAATGTGTGAATCGTTTCTTTGCATAAATCAGGTTTGAGTACAAATAATCGCGGTTATTGTGTATCCGAAGGAACGTTATTTGCTCAGTGTGCTGCGGCCTTTTTGTCAAAAAAAAACACACACACACACATAACAAAGCAGAAAAAACAAGCGACTTGAAATAGCGCTCAGGTTTTTGCAGCAGGTCGGCTTTTGTGTACGCGTAATGAGACAATATTTGCTTGTTTAATCACAACTGAATGGTTTGTCAGTGTCGGCCGTTTGAGTCATGTCAAACAAAAGGTTGGACTGTGTGTTTTTTTATGTACCAAAGGCTCATATTGATTGCTTTGCAAATGGTGCAATTGGTTTTAACACTTAAATAAAAGAAACGAAGAAATTTTTCGGGCCGACTTCGAAATTACAGCATTCGATTGTCTTGAAAAATATACATCTATATTTGGTTTATGATAGTGTCTATATAATTTATAGTAGGGACGGCGAAGAGACACATACACGTTCACACTCAACGAATTCGTGTCCTGTTGAATGCGATTGGAATGCGCTTTTGACTGAGATGCGATTAAGATAAAATCACGTTTTGCCCGCAAAGTCAAAAGGACTGTAAAACACAACCGATCATAAGATGCTATATTTATGTGCCTTCAACGCGAAACCGAACCGAACCGAACGCTCATTCAATCCGTTCAGTTTGTTTTCTTTCTTCTTCCATATCTTCTGCTCTTCAAATACCTTTGTTGGCTTATTTCTCGATTCTCATCTTTACCAAGAGCTAGCGGCATCAATTTACTCGACCAAAGAAAACATATAAACAAGTATATGTGAAAAAGAAATAAAGCTAGCCAGAAATGTAGGCCCTCAACCAAGACGCAACACGAGGAGAAGAAGAAGAAGAAGGAGGAAAAAATCCGATCGGACGAAGAAAAGTAAATCGTGTGAGCGAGAGAGACCTAAAGCCAAAATACATATATTTTCAATTTAAATGCATGATAATGAAAGAATAGCCGCAATAATAGTTATAATTGACGATGCACGACCACGACGACGGCCAATCTTCTAACAGTGAAAACCGGTTTGTCGCGTATATCTCTTCTACTTTATTCGATGCTCTGTGTGATGGGTATTTCTTTTATCCCATTCTTTTTTTTCGGTGTGTATCTTTCGCTTTACTTTTTGGTATGGCACTTCATGTCGTTTTCCTATTCGATTTGATCTTTTCGTTTGGCCTATGCTCATTTCTTAAGATACGGGTTCGTTTTTTTGGAATTAGAAAAAATTTCTTTCATTCAATTTCGCTACGGCTGGCTGACAGTGTTTTTATTTCTCTCTCTCTCTCTCTCTCTCTCTCTC